ATATAGCCCAGGTTCAAATCCCAGTAAGGGTATGGCTAGCTGATGAGAGCTAAATAGCTTGAAATAGATCTATACTAGTCTCCCTTTATTTATCACAAAAAACAACAACAACATATATATATATATTTATATAGGTATAAATTGAAATGTAAAGCTAAGTTTATCAAGAATAGAATGTCTTAACACCATTGTTTTACTTATCTAGCAAATAACTGGAAAGGCACCAGAAAGCCTAGATATTTTGAAAAATTTAGATATGGAAGAAATTGAATATGAAGACTATGATTCTGCCGAGGAAGATTTAGATGGTGAATCTGAAGAGGAACATTCAAATTTTTCCAACAGTTCTACAGATGGTGTTGTGGATGTGCCTCTAAATTGAGAAAGTAACCTCTGAAAGTATTGGCCTCCAAAGGGGGGGGGGGAGGCAGAGCAATCAATAAATCCTCTGAAAACTACAGATCTATCTAAGATTTTGAGGATGGGGTTGCACTACTAATGTGTTGCAGAGTGACTAACAGTCTTACCAAAACTATTAGATTGTATGTAGTCACTTATTAATTGGAAATACTGTGTATTTCAGCTTGTAAATAAGTTTTTATTCATTTACGACATTTGTAATTACCAAATAAATTTACCCACACAATTATGATATGGTTTTCAAAGTGGAACTTATTTCTTGATACATCATATTACACAATCTAGTTTTATCTGACATGTATCTTTATCCTTGCTTGGAGACCTCTTCCATCATAGCACAATCCCCAAATAAATATTTTGAAATTAATAATGTTTCTTCAATTCTTCCCAAACCAGACATGCTTCTGTTTCTGTTTTCCAGGATTAATTTGCAGGTTTATCTTGTCTCAAAAGATAGTGCCTTTTAAATGTAAAACATTTTTTCAAATGACTTTATTAAATCCAAAGCTTGAGACCCCTCATTCTTACCCTCTAATTAGCCTTGTGCATGGAATAGACAGTATTTGGGAAAAACTACTAAATTTTGTTTATTGTTAAATCTTTATAAAATTAGTGCAGTGTAAGAGAACTTATTTAATTCCACTGGGTTATATTTAGGTGGCCAGATTAATCATTTAACAGGGAAATGAATTGCCCTGGCCACTTCACTTTGCATGAATGTTTAATCTGTACATCATCTGACCTGGTTTTTTTGCCTTGCTGCTTTTGATTTTTGTAACTTACTGGATGAAGATTTCAAGAAACTTCGAGAGCTGCTTATTATTTTGTGCCATTTTGATTAGTTTTATTAAAGTTACCTTCCTGCTGTGGATCTCATATTTTTTCCTTACTAGACAAAACTTTTTAAAAATGTTTTATTTTGAAGTTTTGACTACATGGGATAGGAGGGATTGCGGCCATTTCCAACTGGGTGTTCCCCTGCTAAAGTAATCAAACTGAAACTTTCTTATCCACAAATGGTAAGATTTATTCCCAATCTAAGACCAGATAGATAATTATCCATAATTATGAAATGTTTAGCTTAACGGGATTCCTAGTAGTTTTCAATAATTTTTAACAGTAATAGTGCAGAAGGTATTATTTGCATAACAGCTTATTTGTGTTTTGAAGGCAGTTTATTGTTCTTAAAACCATTTTCACAAAGCATTTCTTCAGATTGATAGCATGTAGCAAAATGAAGGAAGGCGCCATCACCTTGCCAGCCTTGGCTGTACTAAAAAGGGGACTTCAATGTGAATAATTCTCGAAAGACCGCTAGGAGATCCCAGGGTTAGATGCTAGACTAAGTTGAACATCCAGGCAGCAAGCAAAAGAGATCAATTCTGTTGAGTTTAACTCGGGATATTTATCCTTTTTTAGTTTTTATTGATTAAATAAATCTTAGAATTAAGCATCAGTTTAAACATTAAGCAGTAATTTTATTGTGTCAAATATTTGAAGAAAGTAACACCTAGTGCTTGTCAGTAGAATTATTTGTTCTGACACATATTCCCTTAATTCTATTTGTATACTTCTGTGCCTGGATATCCCATAAACATGTACATTAATGTAGCATAGTTTTGGGGCCAGCCAAACCATTCCATATTAGACAGGTATTCCAGTCTTTTCTCTAGTGTTTGGCCACCAATTTCATGAAATAATTTAATATAAGAGATATTATTACAGCAGACAACAGTCATAAGATAACAAACCCAGAACTTCACCAGAACTATATCTGGGTCCGCTTCTGCAGCATCTTCATCTTCTTCAAGATAGGACAGCAAAATTTCAGGAAGGTGGTGAGCTTTGGCTTCATTTTGGTTTACGGGGTTAATGTAGCATACAGTACTCAGTCCTTTTAAAACCAAGATTCTTACTTTTGTGGTTGTGTCTGGCATCATCAAAATATCAATCATGTCCTGAATATATTGTGTAGTAAAACTTCCAGCACTAACGCCACCTGCAAAGTTTATGCAAAGTTCATAAATTCTGAGCCACTTTCTCATTAAACAGACATTTCCCAAATGTTCAATAAATGACAAGATGAAGCACATTCTTCCTCCTGCCCTCACTCAATTTGCAGAATTTGTTCAAATGATTTCAATGCAGGTATTATCACTGCTGCCCAAAACAAGAGAAAACAACCACCAAAATGGCTTTTCAGCTTCTCGGTTTAACCCAGAGCAATCACTTCTGAGTCCAGTAGAGCAGCACAGACTCTGTTGGATGGGTCTGCAAAGAAGGCATCAGCTGAAACTGGAAATGTTACCGTCGCAAGCAGAAGTGTCTGCTACAGAAATGGATCTATCGGGTATATGATTGACAAGTGCTGTATTCAATTACATTGCGGTCTGCTCTTCACACTGCACAGCTCATATATATGAGTCAGTTGGTAAAATAAAAATCTTTGAAAAAATTTCTAAAGTAGAAAAAAATCCTGAATGAAAAAATAGCATAAACAAACTGCATTTTCCTGCATAAAAATGTATTACCCGTGTTTCCCCCAAAATAAAACCCAACCTTATATTTTTTTAGGGTGCCAAAATAAGCACTAGCACTTATTTGGGGGGAGGGATGTCTTATTTTTTCCCCACGTACAGGAAGTCCACTTCTCCTGGTTCACAGCTGCAATGGGGTAGGAGACGGTATGGTGCACCAGTGCCACCACGGTGAGGTAGCGGGGTCTGGAGCTGCTCCATGCACCCTGCACTGGCTTACCTCAGGGCCCCTCAGCCAGGCCATCCACTCCACACTTTGAAATCTGCCTCGTGGTAGCGACTCCAGCAGCCCTGTCCAATAGGACCTCACACGGCTGCTGGCCCACAGCCACAATGGAGCAGGCAACCTGAGAGACAATGGGACGGAGTGGGCAGTCTGCCTGCTCTGGCCCACAGACACTCCCACATCCTGCATGGCACATCCAAATCGCATGCCACCCCCACCTCTGCCTGCTGCTTGGACAGGCAATCAACTGACCTGTGCTATGCAAGCTGTAACTGCTGCTGGACATGGTTAGCCCCTGTGCTGTCCATGCCCCCGATGATGATGATTTTAACTAGGGCTTATTTTGGGGTAGGGTTTATATTAGCATACTAAAATCCGGCTAGGAGTTATTTTCAGGGTAGATCTTATTTTGGGGGGAAACAGTACCTTTGCACGACTCCATTGCATATCTGGCTTGGAGTAAAATTGGAAGGATGGGCTTTAAAAGTTTGTTCTCTCTCGATTAAAAAGATGAGGTATGTTGACAGCAAAAGGATCAATTAATTATCAATCTTGCTTCTAACACATCTCTTCTAAGTCCCAAGTATACAAAGGTTCTGCTGTTGCTGAAGACCCCATAATACCTGTGACTCGAGCTGAACTCTGTAGGTCTCACAATATTTAGAAGAATGATGGCAAAACTTTTGGGCTTTGTGTATCAAAAATTTGTAACGTCTTGACTGATGTGTCACCCTTCCCCCACCATAACAAAAGATAATCTGCCCCCTTATCTATGCATGTGAATAGTGGCACTGCCAAGTACCAAAGCTGGGCCTGAAGTTGAGACCCAGGCGTCGATTTTAACCTTAGGGCCCCTGCTGACACTCAAACAGACCAGCTTGGAAAATGGTGCAATTGGCCCTGTGGCCCCCGTGATCTGCTATATCTACTTAACTTCAGACTGTTCTCTTTCTGCTGACACCCCCTTCCAGCCTGAGGCTACTCCAGATTACACAAGGTCTGTTCTTGAAGGTTCAGCAGCCTCCAAACAACAGCAAAAGCACATCCCATTCTTGTATTGCCCTCCCCCTCCCCACATGAACTCCAGAGGAAGTGGAGGTCATGCAAGAATACATCCCATGGACCGTGGCACGACAAAACCGCGCTCGTCAAAATCGCAGTGGTAAAATCGCGGCGCTAAAGCCGCAACGTCATCACCACCGCGACAACAGCGCGGCAACAGAAGGGCGCTTTAAAACGGCGCTGCGGCAGAAAGCCGAT